GCACCCACTGATGTCTGTCCTGGGGGACTCCTTGGGTAACTTGCTTTGGCAACTCCACCCTGCTGGCACTGAGGCTAACCGGACAGGTACTCTACTTTTTCAGCTGCACCACTCTTGCATCTATGTGGACATCCTGAGGCCACTTGCCTCAACATGCCAAGAAACTCTCAAGAACAGGGCAGAAGAAGTAGCACCTTTCTTAGTGGGACAAAGACCAGATGACCCACTGTGGCCATCTACCTTATGTTTTACAGAAAGGCCCCTCTCAGCCACAGAGCAGGGTCTGCCATCAGATTGGAGGGACAGTGCTTCTTCCCAGTGGCTCACCCAGAACTAATATGCCTAGAGGGAGAAGATATTTTTGCAATTTAACAGCCTGAAGCAGATGCCATCCTTTATCTCACAGGAAGGCACCCAAATTCAAGCTGTTGCCCCAGGCAATTTTTTTTTTTTTAAACCTGGAAGGAAAATGCTTTGGGAGCACATTTCAATTTTATGCCCAAGTCTGACTATGATTATGGCCGGCAGGTGGGAAACACCATATCCAAAATAAACTCCTTCAGTGCTCTCTTCTTTCTCACCCAGTATGACCTGAGCCTACTCCTTAGGATAATCTCAATATTAAGTGGTAAATCTTGAGGTTATGCTGACATACATGTGCAGTAGCATTGGTTGGTAATATTTTTCTTTCTGTGCTGTTATTAGCGCCTTTTCTTCCTTTTTTTCTCAGAAGGGTAAAACTTAGAAAGAGAAATTATGAGATTGCTGACTTCAAAGGTTTCCTCGTGGAAAATGCCTGTAATTTTATTTTCTCTATTTTTTGAAGCACTTTCTCTCAAAAGCTCTTGATTGTAAATTATATGGTGTGGTAGAATACAAATGAAAAAAAGTGCCTTGGAGTGAGAAGCCAGATCTCAACAACTGTGTTATTTCTAAACCTAACTATGGGGGGAAAACGGAGACAGCCAAGAAATATCAGATCAATGACATTTAATTATAATGTAGTTTTTAAGACTTTCAAAGATTTGAAGCTTTTGGAAATAGGACCATGACAGGTGGCAAGAAGATGACAGAAGGATTGTATAAACTGGAGCAAAACTTTTCTTGACAACATTTTTTCTCTAAAATTGTTTATTAAGAGATTGATTTTTAATAATAAGTTGCACCTAAGCCAGAAATTAATACTTTTTTTTTAAATTACTAAGTATATAGGATCAATTTGCAGCCTTTTTTTTTTTTTTTTTACTTCTGAGAGAGAAAGGAAACTGAAAACCATCAAGGCTTTTATATTAACAAAAACTGCTTATGTGGTAAACCTTGTTACTTTTTATACAAGTTGTCTCTAAATATATATTCTCCTCTGTGTATTTACTAATAGATGGGCATATAACTACCTTAGATCAGGGAGTATAGGCATACTTTTTCTAAAAAGAGTTAAAGAGTAGAGAGCACAATGGTAATACAAACTATCAGGAGGAGAATTACAAGTCTGAGGCTAGCCTGGGCACTTGGTAAGACCCTATTCAAAAAAAAAAAAATTTTTTTTTTTTTAAAAAGTCAGATAGCAAATATTTTCTGTCCCAACTATTTAACTCTGCCTGAAAACAGCCACAGAAAATATGTATATGAACAGGTTATAGCTGTATTCCAATAAAATTTTATTTACCAAAAGAGGCAATGGGCCAGTTCTCTGACTCCTGACATTCCTCAGTCTCCTTGTTAGGTGGGACCTTGTCAAAAGTGGTCATATGATTGGCTGGGCATGGATGCAGGTGAAGTGATATGTGTAAGATTCAGTTTGTGTCCAAAGGGAGGGGTATTCTCTATTCTTCCCTATCCTTATTCTTATTGGCAGGAATGCAGATATGATAGTAGAAAGTGGAACAGCAACTTTGGACCATGAGTGGAAGCAAAGTGTTGCTAGCAAGTCAGAATGAGTCAGGCTGCTTCCTTAGACTCAAGAAAATTACCCTCTTCTCACTTAGGTTGCTGTTTCTGGGATGCCTTTCTTAGATCAGTCTTACTTCTTTCCTTACTAATATTTTGCCAATTAGGAGATGAGGGAAAGTATAGTTTTTTAAAATGTGCTTTGTAAAATCACTTTCAAGGATTAGACTAAAATGCTGAGATTTTTGAACAAAAGATAGAACATATGAATTTAATTTTGCCACTCTTCAGTACTGATACGACGACAACGGTTTTGAATGCCTATTTACAGACAGTCCCAGGGATTACTTAAAATACATACTCTTCATTCCCATCAAACATACTGTAACCCAGGTTTCTGTGCCAGTGTTGATCAAGGCCATCTTCATGAAATAGATGACTTTTCATCTTTTGTCATCTGCCCTGTAATCACATGTGAGATCATGAAAACCTGGGACAGATGACCCTGAGATGTTGTTCAGCTGGAACATCGGCAATGTATTTACACTACAGACATAGTTCCTGTTCTTAAGGCACTGACTTTTAAAATCCATTTCTTCTATTTCTTCCTGGTTTGTGTTTTATATAGAAAGCTTAGTGCCAAAAATCAAAACCAAAACTGAAAAGCTAAAGTTCTAGATAAAAGAGAAATGGCTACCTAAACCTTAAGTAGTAAAAATAAGTTAAATTTTCTGGGACTTCTGCTTTCTACATAATGAAATACAGCAATGATACCTATTGAGTCAAGGTAATAAAAGCATTGAAACTGGCAGGGGGTGTGGCTCACTTGCCTGGCAGGCATGAGTCCCTGTGTTCCATCCCCAGCACCACAAAAGAGAAGAATAGCAAAACATCATTTACCTTTCAAAGATGTAAAATGTAAGAAACATTTCAGAGAAAGTAATGTGACCTAAGTCACCAAATGTAACCTAAATCAGAATATTAACCTTGGTTCTATCAAGCATTAAGACTGTGACCTCCCCTCGACCCCTCAGAAGGAAACACAGGCACAAATGAGTGCTTTGGATTAGCATCTTAAGGAAGAAAAGATGAACATTAAACAGAGACATGAGGTGGGAGGGAAAGGGAGAGAAAAGGGAAATTGCATGGTAATGGAGGAAGAACCTCATTGTTATACAAAATTACATATAAGAGGTTGTGAGGGGAATGGGAAAATAAACAAGGAGAGAAATGAATTACAGTGGATGGGGTAGTGAGAGAAGATGGGAGGGGAAGGAGGGGGGATAGTAGAGGATAGTAAAGGTAGCAGAATACAACAGTTACTAATAGGGCATTATGTAAAAATGTGGATGTGTAACCGATGTGATTCTGCAATCTGTATTTGGGGTAAAATTGGGAGTTCATAACCAACTTGAATCTATTGCATGAAATATGATATGTCAATAGCTTTATAATGTTTTGAACAACCAATAAAAAAAAAAAAAAAAAAAAAAAACTTGTCTCAATTTAGGTGATAGGAATTTGCTGAACTGACATCCAACATATTCTGTCCAAAGTCAGTTTTTCCAAAGTATCACCCTTCTTTGTTAATAAACTTGATTATAAACTTGATTTTTTAAAAAAAGTTCTTCCTCAATTATTTTCGTTCTCCATTAATCATCTAAATCTAAACTCTTCTAAAAATGGTCTAGAAAAAGGAAACCTTATGGTTAAAGAAAGTGAGAGGAGTAAGAACAGCTCATTACTGAAACATGAATTTTACTGAACTAAAAGTTTATGGGGAAAACCCCTGGATTCTGTGTGGAGCCTGGTGCAATACTACACTGTGGAGAGAAAGTCAGAATGAACATGGTGTAGACTCAAGAGACCGAAAACCAAGAAAACAACTTTCCTGCCAGCCCTACCAGTGTTGGGCTCTAGGTAAGATATCTGACACCCTTCATTATAGCAGGGGTGAAAAAAAAATCAGGGAAGTCCCACAATTTGTTCAAGTTCAAATAAGTGGCAGAATACCGGAAATCAGGATTAGCTGACTCCCATGTCAGTTCTTCCACTAAGTTGCAACTTCCTTGGTAAAAGTAAATGTGCAGTTATTCAGATTCCCTATATACAGGGACAAAAACTATTTTCTTAAAATAACCCTTTAATTGAAGGTTTAAATAAACATCTCTTAGTTGAAAAATCTACTCCTGACTTTAGGTTTCTTCTTGAAATATAAATTTGCTTCCAACACATGCCCTGCAGTTCTCTTCCACTGGCCTTTCTCGCATTGCATTCTGTTGGTTAATGTCTACTCCGCCTTTAAGATCTACTCAGGAAGGCTAATCAATTGTCATTATTTTCTCCCCTAACTTAAAGAACACTGGGTTCAAAATCCTTTCTGCAATGTGGATTTGTTTAGTATTGCTTTTGGATTATAGATAAGGTTTGCCTGCTCACCTACCTCTACCTATGTGACAAGAAAGTTTTAATGAGCCGTGTCATTCCACAGCACTTGAAAACCATAGAAATCCTGCTCTCCAGAATGAAGACTGACAAATATATAACCATAATAACTTAAAGCTACCCTTAAAAGTACGCACAACTGCTCCTTCTAAATGCTGGAAGTACTTTTCCCTCCTAGAAAGAGATTCTTGGAAGTTTTGCTTTCAAAAGGTCTGTGATTTTCTTGTAAAAATCTTAAATATAGCTTTGGCCAGGGTGGGGTTGGGGGAGGGGTGTTACATTTTCTGTGTCTTCAATTTTTACATCAAATAGAATGAATGAGCATATGCACCATAAAGCCACATTTTCTATCTGAATGAAAAAAGCTATCTGTTTACTTCTGTCTGTCTGAGTGGAGCCACAGGAAGGCCCAATAGTATAAATTTTGTTGGCCACTCCTGGCTTCTTCTGTAAGCAGGTCCACTGATGAGAAGGAAGGAAGGAGGGGTGGCGGTTGAGGCTTGTTTTTTTGTTTGTTTGTTTTTTGTGATACTGAGGACTACACCAGGGATGCTTTACCACTGAACTACATCTCCAGCCATTTTATTTTTTGAGACAGGGTCTTACTAAATTGCCCAGGCTGGTCTGAACTTGCACTACAGGGTCCAGCTGGGGATTTGAGTTCTTACCTCCCAGTGGCTGAACACCAGCTGCGGGCTGGCCAGGCCACTCGTCCTCTTCCTGATTTCATCAGCAAAACCAAAGCTTTCAGCCACAGGCAGGACAGCCTTGATGATGAACATGTCTGTCCCTTCTTTCATTTCTTCTTGAAGCACTCGACCTTCTCTCTTTGACAAGACAGCATAGACTCGACCTGCAAGGCCAAGAATCTTTTAAATCCATTGACTGGTCATATAACTTGAGCCACACTAACATGATTACTTTTACACCCTGTTAACAATCCACTAGTGATTCAATCTGCTCTCAATACTTTAGCATGCAGAAGCCTGGAAACCTAAGTGTCTATTTAAAAAGTAAAGCACAATTATGGAAAAGTCAGAAGTAAAAGGTTACAAACCCCAGGCTGTATCACCCAGAGACAATCCTCTCAAACAGTGATCAGCAAGAGACTGTGTAAGGATGTTTCAATACAATTATATCCAGGAGGATTTTAATAATTATGATGAGAATCATAATTATGACAGACTATTTGAACTACATTGGATTATAGTAATAAGTGAGCAATTGGTATAATGACATTTTTATACTAGAAATTAAAACCATACATGTATGTTTCTTAAACTGATGACATCTAAGTACAGGACTGTTAGTGTTTTATTCCTCTGGAAACTGATAATGATTGGAATCTTTAATGTCTAGTAACAATTTCTAGTGCCACAGCATAAGAATTCTAGCAAATGCTTTTGGTTGACACTTTTAATTTAATTTATATTTAGTCACAATTCTGCCTCACAGGAGGGAAATATCTTACACCTGGATTGGCATTCCGTGTGAGTGCTGTGGGTACTCAAATTATCCCTTCATAAGAAACAGATAAATTAGAAGTTATGGACAATAAGGAAGAGCTTGCTATATCTAGCAGATAAACTTACTGAAACCTCCTCTTTCACCTACTGCTTAAAATACTTTTAAGCACAAATGATCTATACATATGTAAATGTACAACACTGAAGTTAAATAGACCTAAGTCTCCCTCTACTATGAGTCCTGGAGTCTTCTAAGTGACAAGGTGAGGAGTCTGATGCACAAGCCATCCACCTTTCTTTTTTAAACTAGGAACTGAGGACACTGACTCTCACACTTTTTTCTCTGATTTGGATTTCTCCCTGGTGGTGGTTATTAGGAAGGACAAACAAAACAATTAGCAGAAAACTTACTGTCTCACAAGGCCTGTTTTCTTTAAATAAGAATTTAAAAAACAGGAAACTTCTACTAGTGATAGACAGTATCTGGTCTTCCACCCCACCCCCCACCCCCAGCTACCACATTCTCTCTTTCTTTTCTTCCCCACATTTATCAAACAGGTAGCTTCTTTTTCATCACTAGATGTTCTTTGAAACAGAAGCAATCCTTGTTTGATGGGTTCTACTAAAAATGTTTCCTTGGAATCTCACAAAATTTTTCTTATTCCTGACCGTTTCACAATCCTCAATCTGCATGATTTCTCAGAAGTTTGAAATTCTCTCCAATTTTAGTATTACCCTCCTTCTACTCCCAGTCTCTGACCATCATTCTACTGTTTTAGTAATTCTTGAGGGTAAAACATCATTTCTGTAAGTATTCTGTGAAGCTTCATACTGTTCTTTGAACAAACTCTGCCCTCAGAAAGCCAACTCATTTCTCATTTGTGTGACTTTAATTTTATTCGTGAGCCTCCTAAAACTATCTCTAAGCCAGGCCTCTGACCTGACTTCAATCCCACACTAAACAGTGGCTGCAAGGGCATCTCTGCTGCAGAACCTGACTTCCTTTTAAATTCAACATGTCTAAGAACACAATGCCATTCACAATGCCAACTGCTGCCATCCTCTCTGTCATTTGTACTAGAAATGTTAACAGTTATAGTTACAGAAGCACAACAGTGGGCTGGATGGTAACCTAAGGGTCACCAAGTTCTACCCCGATAGTTGTTCGAACTCTGCACACATATCCTAAAACTTGCTTCCCAGGGTGGCCCATTCCATCTTCAGATAGTCCTAAGAGCCAGACAACTTCTAAGCCGCTGCTACCCTGAAGATTCTAACCATCAGTCCTAGTTTTCACCACATGGGACAAGTTTAGCCCCTTCTCCCCCAAACACACACACATGCACACACATGCATACACATACACATATCAGCCTCTAAGCTCTATGTTGCCTTCTCTTTTCCACACCAATCTCTCTGACATGCTGTGTATTTCCTGTTTTATCCCAGCCACTTTCTTACTTGAATTACTGTGATTTATTTACCTCCTTTTTACTGTGTGTTGCCCAGAAATGAAAATAATATTCTAAGTACAGTGTGACAAGCTCTGAAAAAAGCAGAACAACAATTATCTTCATTAGTGATCCCTTCCAGGTCTACATATTATTTATGTAGAAAAATATCTCACCATAGAAGCTAACATGTGTGAACTAGTACTCTTTACTCTTCTATCTCATTCTAAGAAAAGTTTTAAGGTAGTCTACGGAAGTAAACATAAAACAGGGGTAAAAAAGAATGAGGGAATTGGGGTAATGGGAACATGATAGGGGGCTATTTGGGACAAGCTGACTACTGCTGAATTCATCAGCTCTTCCCCTTCATAGTTCATGCCATTAGGCTTGGATCAATAATTCTAACTGAAATAGACCATTAATCATGTACTTTTGAGCTATTCAATTTTGACTCCACTAACACTATATCCTCCCAGGACAGGTGTGTTCAGGCTTAGAAGCATTCAGAGACCCTCTAAGCCTGCCACTGTTATCACTAGCAAATTAATGTGGCCAGAATCAGCAAGGATCACATGGCCACTGACTGCAAATACTCTGATACCCCTTCCATTGGATACGGGTATCAGATCTTGGTCACTTGTTCACCCATGTAAAGAAAGACCACTAAGTGCCCTGCTGTATGAAAGACACCAGGGAAGAATTCTGAAGGAAAAAGAAGCAACAAAAAGGAGAATCAATTGCAACACTTTTGACCAGGGCTTTACTCTTTAGGGACTACATTATAAATGTCTCAGCCTTTATACATGGCCCCTGACAAGTAGTAGCAGTAACCTACTACTTCTGCTCCTGTGACTGCCAGTCAGAGCACTGGGAGCAGAGGGTAAGCTGCTTGCTGGGCAGAGTACACGTTGGAGGTTTTTCACTCAGAGTTCATGGTTCCTGCAGCCTATAATGTAAACCATCAGTCCAACTCTTTATTCAAATGCTTTTCATTATTGAAGACCCATTCAATAACAACTTGCTCCATGAAATCTGATACCCAAAGTGCAAAGAAATCTCTTACCATTTAGCTCCACTGAACCAAATCTGTTGCTTCAGAGCACTATAGATTTACACACACACACACACACACACACACACACACACACACACATTTTCTTCTTCCTTAACAGTAAGAATAATCTATAGAGTCTATAATCTTTAAAGCTGGAAGGTAATTAAAGGTATGTTGTTGTCTTCTGAATTTAGGAAAGAGGATAGCTTTTTACAGCTCTATTTTCTCAAATAGTGTAAGAGAGACCAAAGGGAATTTCTAATTCAGGGATGCTATAATTCAATATTACAGCACATCAAATTGATAGCATTTATGCAAAGGTTAAAAATGAAAATTTCAAATAAAAAATAGCCAAATAGAAGCATGCTTAAAAACAAATAACAAACATAAGAGGCCAAATATTAAATTACTCTTACCATAAGGTAACATCTATATACAATGTACTATTAAGGACAAGGCTTATAAAAGAAAGTGGAAAATGCAAGGTTCATTCCCAAGGAGGGAGCCTTTTCTTTTCTGATTTTTGTAATCATTGCTAACATTTGTGGAATAATTTAAATTTTACACACACACACACACACACACACACACAGGTGGGCACTTCTTACTCTTAGAAACTAGGTCGCACTAACTTCTTTTATCATAGATCTAGCAGACTGCTAAATCAAGCCAACGTGGTTGACAGGATAGAGATGCACTTCAATCAAATAGGAGATAAAGCCTACTGTGGACGTAACGGGGAATAAGGGAGCATTGCTACTATATAGATGAATGCTGCTACAAGTTTACAGAAAATTGATGTTAACAAGTTTACCCCACCCTTTAGGGCCTCTGCTCACAGGCTCATGTTCTTATTATTATCAGCTGCTGAAACATTTAGAAGGCACAATCGAATCCAAAATAACACAAAGCTGGCAGATAATAAAGACACTGACAGAATGAGGTAAGGACCCAAATTTAACAAGACACAGCATGGATAATTATCAAGTTCTTCATTGGCTTCAACCAGCAAGTGTCCAGGATTAGAGCAGCAATGCTGAACAACAGCTCCTATAAAACCAACTAGGAGAGAGTTTAAGCTCAAAAATAGTCTTTGTCATGTTGTGGCAAAAAGATGGTGAACTCAAAATTATTCTGTCCATCAAAGCCCACTTCAAAGTACCATCGTTTTCTTCCTTTTATGGTACTGGGATTGAACCCAGGGTCACTTTATCACTGAGCTACATCATCAATTTAAAAATTTGAGACAGTTTTGCTAAGTTGCTGAGGCTGGCCTTGAACTTGGAATCATCCTACCTCAGCCTCCCAAGTAGCTGGGATTACAGGTGTGCACCACCACACCTGGTCATCAAAGTACAATAACTTTCAAAACACCTACCTTGTTTCCAAATTTTGCAAATCCAAAATTTCTCATAAAACGTCACTAGAAAACCATGTTTGTGAACTAAATTCAACTGTATTTTACTTTTAGTTGTTTTACATAATTAAGCTTTGCCTTCTTAACTCATCTCTCAAAGCAAAAATCATGCTTAACATAAAAATTGGCACATGCAGTTCAATAAATCTTTGCTGAATTAAATTATGTAATACTGGTAAAATGTAAAACAAAATAAAAACCCTCAAGTATAGAATAAGGTTTCAAAAATACACAGAATGTTTCTGATATGTTAAAACACATAGGTTCTAACAATGTCAGCATTTATTCCTGCATATAAGAGAAGTACAATAGCTGGAGCTGTGTTGAAAACTCTAGTACTGTTTAACGAAATAGGTATTTTTAAAATATTAGTTTACTGCCAAAAAATAAAAAAAGGATGGGGCAAAAAAGAGATTGACAGGTTAGAAGAAATTCTGCAAAATGAAGCAACTTACTGGTTACATG